TTTGTAGTTAGCTACAAAGCTACGATATGTAGCTAGCAACATATTACAAGAAAATTGCAATATTCAAAGTTCAATTATTCTTATAACTATAATAGACTTAACACTAAAAATCGAATTTTTAAAGGTATTAAAGACATTAGGGAAAAATATAATAAGAAAAAAAAATTGCTTGAAAATCGCTATAAAACTAGCTAGTCGCTGGCTCAATTCAAACCGGGGAACTTCCAAGTTAAATGCTCTCCGTGGTGCTCTGTGATAATACCGTAAAAACTTCTTCTCTATTGATATCCTTTACAACTTTTATGTTTTGTTGATCAAAACGTTTGTTCATTAAACTGATTATGTTGTCTATGACTTCCTTGTAAGCATGCTTCAGTACTGGTTTCAAATTGACACCAAAAAGAGAAATATAATATGACATATTTTTGTTACAAAATATAACATTTTTTACTACTCTTGCCAGGAACAGTTGAAAACTGCTAAAAAGCATCGGCTGAACCTGTACATTGCAATATCATAATAAATAATAAGCAATTGCAATATATAATAAGCATTGCAATTTATAATATAAAAAGTACCAGCTGGACCTGTGCATTTCAACATTCCTGCAATACTTTTAAGTTTTATGAGATTGTAACTTCTACTTTATATAGTTTTGTTTTGGACTTTATGTGAAAAACGTTTGTAATGTAAAAGGGTTTATTTTGGGGTTGAAAAAAATATGCTCGTTTTGGATTTTTTAGGAAAACTTGTTATTGCAACCAATTTGACGTTAAGACATTTTTTAAATCTAATAGGTGATCTCAAACTTAATGATAGTAAATAAGATGAAAATAATGCAAAAGACTTCTATAAAAATTGAATTTATACTTTTCTACAATTTTACATGATGTCGAACTTTTCGGAAACATATTCGTAGTTCGAGCTTCTTACGAAGTTAAACAGTATGAAAAACTCAAAAAAATTCGAAAACAATACAGTTCATTAATACAGCAAAGTATTAACTTATTATTAAGTTCATTAATACAGCAAAAGTATTAACTTATTATTAAGTTCATTAATACAGCAAAAGTATTAACTTATTATTAAGTTCATTAATACAGCAAAAGTATTAACTTATTATTAAGTTCATTAATACAGCAAAAGTATTAACTTGTTATTAAGTTCATTAATACAGCAAAAGTATTAACTTATTATTAAGTTCATTAATACAGCAAAAGTATTAACTTATTATTAAGTTCATTAATACAGCAAAAGTATTAACTTATTATTAAGTTCATTAATACAGCAAAAGTATTAACTTGTTATTAAGTTCATTAATACAGCAAAAGTATTAACTTATTATTAAGTTCATTAATACAGCAAAAGTATTAACTTATTATTAAGTTCATTAATACAGCAAAAGTATTAACTTATTATTAAGTTCATTAATACAGCAAAAGTATTAACTTATTATTAAGTTCATTAATACAGCAAAAGTATTAACTTATTATTAAGTTCATTAATACAGCAAAAGTATTAACTTATTATTAAGTTCATTAATACAGCAAAAGTATTAACTTATTATTAAGTTCATTAATACAGCAAAGTATTAACTACTCTCGCAGGGTAATATTTTTTTTTTTTTTTTTTTTTTTTTTTTAAATTTTACATTTGTTGGTATTACAACTATATATTGCAAAAAAAAAAAAATAATAATAATAATGATAATAATAATAAACTTTCACAAATATAAAATAAGGTATCTGAAAGAAGATCAAAGGATCTTGTCGTCTGAACCCATTCTTTTACATACCATGAATTCTAAAATGTTTTAACTGTTGTGATTCACACTATCAGTGACGGATTGAGACTTCTTGGAGCCCGGGGCTATTTTTGTTTTTGAAGGCCTTTTTATGGGCCAGAGCCTAAAAATTGAATAAAGAAAAAAAAAAAAAAAAAGGTTCTCTAAAATTTTTGGAGGCCCCTAAATTAACAGTATCCGGGTCTTTGCACGATTCGTCACAGTACCCGGTTTTTTTACCAGCAATATATGATTTTTTAAAAGGGTTTTGCTAAGTGGGAAGGGTAGCTTTGTAAATATAACATTGTAAAAAAAAAATTATGAATGTAATAGGGGAAAGACGCCAATGATGGCATAGCGCCTATGATGGCATACCGGTCATATTTTCATAAATATTGGTTATGGCAAAAAAGTGATTAGACTAATATGTCTATACTGACTTTAAACTAGTTTTAGTAAAAATACGTCCCTTATGCACAATTATTGCTTTTATAATCAACAAAAATTGATTTTGGGATGTGCTCTTGTATTTTTAATCCCTTTAAATATTTAAGATTGTGATTTTATTAATAACTGTGCAAAAATGAAATTTTTTTGAATTTTATTTCCAAGTTTTTTGCATTTAGTGGAATACTTATTTTAATTTTATCTTTTGAACAAGGTAGACATAGCTTGTTTAATGACATGACTTCTTCCTATGATGGCATACTGACGAGTTAGGTGTGTTGCAATATTGACGAGTTTAAAAAACTTTTTTTTTTCATAAACACAACATAATTGTTAGTAAAGTAAGGAGGAATTTTTACTTCACTAAAAAATTTTTGATTCAAAAAACACATAAAACGCAATATCTTAAATGCGCATGCGCAAAATTCTACACTGCTGTTGTGAAGCACGAAAGGGTTTATTAGAATGATTACGCGTAATTTCTGTCATTACTGAGGGAAGACTTTAATGTCAAATGAAATTCTCAAGTTAACCTTGATGCTAACCAGTTCCATCCTCCCCTATGCCATCATCGCATCAGTAGTTGCCTTTGATGGCATACTAGTGCTTTTTTTTATAAATAAAAGTAACAAATAAAAAAATAAAACTGATCAAAACTCCTAGGGTTCTTATTATTTTACATGTAACAAAGAATGTATCTATATAAAAACTTTTGTCTTCAGGATACTGAATAATGAAGCTTCAAAGTTAATTATGCCATTATAGGCGCTTTTCCCCTATTCTTTGACTTTTTATTGCTATAATCAACTCAACTTAGAGAGAATTTATAACTCCATAATAATTCAAATGACCAGAGTCTGACGTCATTATTAACGGCGAACCTGAGCCATACACTAAGGACTAAAAGTTTACCATATTTATTGATAAAAAGTTAAAAGGTAGTGATAAAAATGTGAAAACTTTTTATTATGATATTCTCATTAAATATAAAAAAAAAATTTTGCGATGGAAAAAAGAGCATGGTCCATTTGACCTTACTTACTCTACTGTCATGTGACAAAACATATTTTTCAACTTGTAATAAAAATTTCTTGAAGTTAACTTCATAAAATAGATTTTTATATGTAAGTATTTTAAAAGATTGCATATTAATCAAATTGTTATTAAAAATACTTTTAAAACTTAAAAATTGAATATGTCGAAATTAGTAAAACATGGTTGCCATTTTATACCCTCGGACTTCTTAAGGTGAGTTTCCACTCATCTGTTTTTCTACGGGAACGGAATAGAAAAGGAAAAAATAATCACGTGAGCATGTGTAGCTATCCTTCAAACAATACTACGCACGTGATTATTTTTCCCTTCCCTTTCCCGTTCCGGTAAAAAAAACGGATGAGCGGAAGCTTACCTTTAAATATTATTATTGTATGTTGCTATCGATGTTGTTGTTGATATCTATGTTGTTGCTGATGTTGTTGTTTTTGTTACTCTTAAATAATAAACGTGATTTTGAAAAAAAAAAAAAAACGAGCTTGAAAAGTTAATTAATTATCAACTAAACTTATAAAAAAATTTACAATTAGCATTCTTTAGTAAAGAGCATGAAAATGTGTATTACACTAAAACACTAAACAAGTTCAGCAATGTTATAAATATAGTATATAATTATTTTTGAAGCAATTACAATGATGACAGATATAGACTATAATTTGTTTATTGAATTAGCTCTAATTCGCTCCAAATAAGATATTATTTATATTTAACAAAATGCTTAATAAATTTGCCCAATGACAGTATTTTAATTTACCAAAATATACGACAGCATTCTAATTTTACCACAGCAATCTAATTTAAGAAATGTGTAATAAATATAAAATTTAGTACAGCTATAGAAAAATTTCTATTATTATTGAGTAACGTTGTTTGCTTTTTTTCGTATTTAGCTTTTCTTAGAATAGAAGTTTTGAAAAAATGTATATTTATTTAAAAAGTTTATTAAAAAAAATTCATTTTATTAATGAACAAATAAGTACTTCAAATATTTACGATTTTTTAAAATTGTTTCTCGGCACCTCTTAAACCCATCTTTTATTACCTGCGTGCTTCTTTACTAGAATCTTTTGACATCACTATTACATAAAAAGTCCAATGCAAAGTGATCAGAGAAAGTTTTAGGTGACAAACATAACAACTAATGCATTTGTAAATTCAGTGGCCAAACTCAAATGATTAAGTAAAACTTTTTTGTTTTACTTGTTTTACATTAAAATAATATATTTAATAAAAATACAAAAAAATAATAATAAAAATAAGTAAAATACTACTTTTTACTTTTTTACTTAATATTAAGTCATAGTAAGTTAAATTTTTTATTATCCAAAAAATATTATAGAACTTGTATCTCACGTAAAATTACCATAAAGTTAATTTCTTATTTAATAAATATTGTGTTTTAATCAATATATAATTTTTGTAAAATCATTTTAAATTAGTTTGACTCTAAATTATAGACTTTATTCTTTGCTACATTTTACTTGGCTGCAGTATGAAATAGGTTGACTCATTATTTTAGTCATAAAATATTTTATTCAATTATATAAAAAACAAAAAGTCCGACCTAACTTAATTGTATTAATTAAATCTATAAGCTAAGTTTATTGTGATTAAGTTCACTATGATGATTATATTTATCCCTTGCGATTTAAGTAATTACTGGTAACTAGTTCCCATGCTACAAGAATTAAAATATATAGAGTTTATTACTATATTTTTAAAAAGGAGCAAAACGCCACAAGCGCTCAACAAACTCAAATTATCTCCGTCTTAGATTCTTTTGGTAAGTTTTTCAGTAGTTACGACAATAATTTCTAACAATGATTTATCTTGATTAATATTTCTAACGATGATTTATCTTATTTTAGTTTTTATGAGTTGTTTTTTTTTAACTGGGTTTAAGTTAATTAATATAAGTTTTTTAAAGTTTCAAAAACTGAAAAAACATAATTTCGCTAATCAAGCCTTTAGCTTATGAATATATAGTTTAAATAATTTAAGATAAGGAAAACATTGCACTACATTCAGAGGCGATTCTAGGAATAAAAAACGGAGGAGGGGGGTTTAAAATTTTTCTTTTATATTATAAATATTCCTAACAACTAAAAATTAAAAACCACTATCTTGGAGGGAGGGGAAGGGGTCCACCTCCGTAGAATTGCCTCTTATCAAACTGTTTTAGATTTAGGGTTAAAAAGGTTATACTTAGGGTTAAAAAGAATTATTTTATGAAGAAAAACTTAGCGGCCTCAATGCAACAAAACAGTTTATCAAGCTTTTTAATTTCATATTGTACATATCGTATTTTACCTTGGAAGATGAAAGGTTTTTGCTATGTTTATACGTATGTTATAATAAAGATTACTTTCATTTAACTTTACACTTTAAAAATTTAAACGCTAATTACTATATGCAAGTTTTTGACTACGTAAGTTACGAATCGTTCCTAACGCACTTACGTAACTTACGAATAATCCCTAATCTTTCAAATTATAAAGTAAAAATTACCTAGCTATTTAAGAAGCACTTTAATGCTCAAAACAAAAAAAAGTTTAAATGACGCACTCCAGAGGTGCGTCAAGTAAGTGGTGGATTCGCCTATAGATCCCCGCCCTTGGTGTGTTCTAGTTTTGAAGGAAGAAAGTTTTGTCAGAAAAGAAGGATTAGAAATAAAACTTGAACTGAATTAATAATAGAAAAGATTAAGTTAAAAATGTATTTTAAATCTAATTTTAAAAGAGTTATTGAAAATATATTGCTTTATAAATGTGGCGGGATAGCTCAGATGGTTAGAGTGTAAAAGGAAAAGTTAAAACCCAGACTGTTGAACGATACGAGTTTAAATCCCGCAACCGCCAACTCAGCGCTTGAGTAATACTTCGTACGCAAAAATGTTGGTCAATAACGGACGCTACTTTGGATTAGTCTTTATGACTATTTGTGGCTGTTCCTATGCCAACAATATCTTCGGATAAAAGAACATTGTATAAAAAAATATAGCATGAAAACTCAATTAAAAAAAATAAAATAAAAAAAAATAATAATAAAAAATAAACAGAAAATAAACACGGAGAAAAAAAAAATAGTTTTTAATGTTTTTATTAAGTATGAGTTTAATTTTATTATTGACTTTAGATAACTTTGTTCTTTTCTTTTTAATTATTTATTTAATTTATTTTTAGTCAATTGAAGCCAATATGCAACTTGTCATTTTCGCTCTGATGCTTTCAATAGTTGCAGCTGTACCAACGTATGAATTTGTTGTAAGTAACCTACTGCATAACGTACTGAAATTATAAACTTATACGATTATAAAATGATTGTATGGAATAATACAAATCCGCGTAACTAGCATTGGATGATTATTGAGTTTAAAACTCATATTTTTGTTTTGAGTGATTTGCTTTGATATTTTTGAAGTTAACGTCTCTCGTAACTCCTAATCCTTTCGTCTTTTTTTTAAGATGCAGATTTTTTAGTAAGATTGCTTTAATTGTTTTTAGCGTAAATTGTTTTAGGAAATACTTTTAACTAAAAATAAGTGATGAATATGTGTTTCAACATCCGTGTTTCAAGTCATGAAAATGACTTAAAACGCGCATGTTTATACTCTACGGTTTTTAAATTTGCAATGGCAGCAAACTTGCCAGCGTTTGTACTAACTCCGTGTGGAGATAACGCGTGTATGTTTAAACTCAATAATATCTATTGTTAACATTACAAAAAATATGAATAAGACTCTTTATGTCAAAATGAGCCCAAAATCTGTTGAAATTAATAAATAATTAAACTCCTGTAAAACTATCTCTAGTGCAGATACGCGGTCCAATGCTAGTTACGCGGATTAGCATTATACTAAGTTAAGTTAAGTTTTATTATATATTAGGTATTTTTTTATTAAAACATTAATGAGTTAGCTTTAGAGTTATTAAATAGGTTTGATTTATAATCAAACTTATTTAATTTATAATCAAACCTACTTACTTTACATCTTGAAATTTTGAATCAAAAAAGTCTTGTTTGCATTCTCTCCGTATATAATTTAGTAAATCACCCTTTTATATGCAAAACTATATTATAGTTCTTAAATAACTTAATATAAATTAAGATAATTTAACTTTAGATAATTACCTTAAGTAAGCTTAATAAAAAAATGAATTTTAAAAAGTTCTTTTCAGAAAATGTAAAAAATCTTCGCGAAATTTAGAAAGGAATTAATAATTTAATAAAAGTCTAAAACTCTAATCACTAATCTCCCAACTGTTTACAAAATAATGAAACATATAGAACTAAACCAAATCTTATCTCTGAAAATTTAACACGTTTTTTACAAGATCTTAAATCCAATATTCATTCGTCTTACATAAACTATACAAAATACTATATTGGACAAAACAAGTGCAACCAAAAAAAAAAAAAAAAAGTGCTGCATTTTTTCAATTTAGAGAAATAACTATGTAACTGTTTAGAGACAACGTTCTTCAAGTTTTATTTATTACAAAGTTCATTATTTGTACACGAAAATTAATAAATTAATCAAAAGTATTAAAAAAGTTGGTTTCCTTCTGGACAAAACAAGTGCAAATCCGCAAAATGTTGACCAAGCTGTATTTCGCTATCAATGTTTAGTGGCAAATCCTTTGTTATCAATCACAGCCTTGCATCTTCGAGGCATAAATTCAATCAGGTGATCAATGAAACTTTGTGGAATCGCTGCCCAGGTCTTTTGGATTTGTTCAAACAGTTGATCCTTATTACGAACACCTTCACGAATAATTCTGGGGTCGACGATCTCCCACAGGTTCTCAATAGGGTTGAGACCCGGAGATTGAGGCGGCCAATCCATTACCCATTGGTGTTTGTCTTGAAATCACTTCTTGACTACTTTTGCTGTGTGTTTTGGATCGTTGTCTTGCTGAAAAACCCATTTTATTCGTATATTCCAGTCAGCATGAGGTACCATCTTTCAGGATATTTTTATACATGAAACGGTCCATTATTCCATCGATTCGATGTATTAGACCTAGACCGTTAGCAGAAGAACACCCCCAGACCATTTTATTGCCTCCACCATGCTTCACGGTCTTATGGCACTAACGTAAATCGAGGCGTTTTCCGGTCGGTTGACGTACACAACAAATGCCATTGTTCCCGATGATGTTGAACTTCGATTCATCACTGAACAGGACAGTTTATCATTTCTGCACAATCCAGTCAATATGAGATGTAGCAAACAGGAGTCTTTTCTTCTGGTTCTTTAGTGAAATCAGCGGTTTCTTTGCAGGGCGTCAAGAAAACAATCCGCCTTCAACACACGTCGTCTGATTGTTCGGTCAGGCAGTTCTAATTACTTTTGTATCTCGATTGATGATATTCAGGGATCCTTTTTGACGGATCTGACGGATCTTTTTGACGGATCATAGAACTCTCTCTAGAAGTGGTGGAACGCAGTCTTCCACTTTTGTTATCTGCTGCTAACTTACCTGTAGAACGATATTTGGAACATAGTCTTAATACGGTCCATTTTTTCACGCGATATTTATCACAAATACTTTTTTGTGACATTCCACTTACGTAATCGCTAATTATTTTCTTTCTTAGTTCCAATCCAAGACTGTTGGGAGCCATTTTTGCACTTGAAGTCATAAAAATATTGAAAATAAATAATCACGCTTCTTAAGGCTTACCGTGTTACATTACCTTGTGATGATACAATAATGCTCTGTGGAACACAACGTCTTGGTTGGATACGGAGTGTATTGATGTTTAATGAAACTCTTGTTGTATTTCACTTCTTGTATTGATGTTCTTCGATAAAACACTTTGATAAAACTGTCTTGATAATACTGACTGATTGACTTCCATATACTGACTGAATTACATGTCGGTTTACATGTCTCTTATATAGTAAAATGAACCTGTGTGAACCTGTTCTGGAAGATTCTAGATGCTTCTTTTTGATGCTTTTGGATGCTTTTGGATGCTTTTGGATGCTTCTGGATGCGTCTGGATGCTTCTGAATGTTTCTGGATACTTCTGGATGCTTCTGGATGCTTCCAAATGCTTCTTCTGGAAACTTCTGGAAGCTTCTGCATGCTTTTGGAAATTTCTGGAAACTTCTGGATACTTCCTTTAATTATTGAAAAACTTCCGTTACGTTGACACGAACCAGACTTAAGAAAATGAAATAAACCGAAAAAGTTGCACTTGTTTTTTCCTCTGCATAATGGAACTTGTCAACGAAATTCTGCCTGTGTGCTGTCACCTGTCAGCTGATTGCTCATGTCATGGCATGCTATGACTCCAGACTCCTGAACTGTTTGCTGTGGTAGTATAGTTCGTTTCGTTTTTAAGACATGTAAAATTAGGAACACTTTTTAGCATTGTTCGATGTTGGTTGCAAATGTTTTGTCCAATACTGTATCTTAAATATACAAATTTATATGATCTACTCCTATCTCCAACAAATATTCCTGAAGTTTCATCTCTTATATCTAATTTGAAGCCGAGAAAATCAATAGGCCCAAATAGCATTCCCACAAACATTCTTTTCAATTTTAACGATGAATTTTCAGATATTCTTTCTAAACTATTTAATATATCATTCATAAATGGAATTTCCAAATGTTTTAAAATTATCTTGTGTTATTCCAATATTTAAAAAGGGCTCTAAACATTTATGTGCTAACTACAGACCTATTTCTCTTTTATCTAACATTTGTAAGCTTTTTGAAAAACTAATGCATTTTAGAGTGTACTCTTTTCTTAACTCTTAACTTTTTAAATAAATTTCAGTTTGGTCTTTGTTCAAAACATTCTACCTGCCATGCATTAATAAGTATAAAGGCGAGTTTCCACTCATCCGTTTTTTCACGGGAACGGGAAAGGTACGTAAAAAATAATCACGTGGGCATGCGTAGTATAAGTTTTAATATGTCTGAAGGAAAACTACGCATGCTCACGTGATTAATTTTCCCTTTTAATAATCCCGTTCCCGTGAAAAAACGGATGAGTGGAAACTCACCTTAACTGAAAAAATTAGAACAGCTCTCGACAGCTCTGGTCATTTTGTTTGTGTTAATTTTATAGATTTACAAAAAGCTTTTGATACCGTTGATCATAACATTTTCATTTCTAAATTAGAACACGATGGTAATCCTGGTGTTGTAATTGACAGGTTTTGATCTTTTTTTAGAGATCGGAAACAGTTTCTAAGTATTAATGGTTATAATTTTACTAATAAATCTGTTGTGTGTGGTGTTCCTCAAGGTTCTGTGTTTGGTCCTCTTTTGCTTTTAATTTATGTTAATGACAAAAACAACTCTGTTCGCTTCTCGACAATTCATCTATTTACTTATGACACAAACCTATTGCATATCAACAAATCGTACAAATTTATGTTTTTACATAGAGAACTATGTAAAAACATAAATTCGGATCTAATATATATAAAGCCAATTTCACTGGTTAAATGCTAACCTAATATGTCTTAACGCCAAAAAAAACCGAACTAATCTTTTTTTGATCTTCTAGAAAAAAACAATCTGAACAACAATTCTAAAATTCAAATCAAAACTAATAATAAACAGCAATATCCTACAAAAGTTATCAAATATTTCGGTATTTTTGTGGAATTTTCATATTGATGAGCTACGAAAGAAACTAACTCGAGCTAACAACATACTTTCAATAATTCGTCATTATATCGATAAATTCACTCTAAAGAATATTTACTATGCATTATTTTTATCGCATCTTAGGTACTGTTGTCAAATTTGGGGTCAAAATGGCAACTATCACATAAAAAATATGATGTCCTCTCAACGTCAATTCATAAGAAAAAAAAAAAAAATCCCTTCCAGCGCTTGTAAAATTTGCTAATTTTCTTTTTGTTTTTGAATCTCTTAATAAAAATTTACCCTCTATTATAACAGACATTTTTACAGAAAATAGAATATATACATACTCTACTAGAAAACTTAGTGTACCATCTTTTAAAATTCAGAAGTATGTTAAACATTCTGTTGTCTATGAGTGCTTTTGTGGATGGAGTCTTGTATGCATAGTGACTGAGTTCAAAAAACTACAACTTCAAACACCTTTATCGTCTTTTCTAAATCTTAAACAAATTCAATTTTAAAAAAATACTTATTTAATAATTTATTATTAACAATAATTATAAAGTTTTAAAATAATTTATTAATTATCTTTATAAACTATTTTAAAACTTTTAC